GTGAGTCACCATGGACTAATATTCATTGTTGTAGACCAGTTCTATACATGTAACACCATTCAATTCTTTAGTCATCTGCTATTTTATAAGTACAGTAATCTTTAGGATGCTTTAACGTAAACACTCTATAATCAGTACAACAAACAGTGCTTCAGTTGTTCTCAGCTCTTCTCAAAGCATTTTAAAAATAACATTTGAGAAAAGAGCCTCCAAGAGATTAATGTCTCTAAGACATCCCAATAAAAATCATCATTTAGTTTTAGGAGAAACTGCTTCACTTCAGAACCTACTTTAAGWAGTGTTGAAGCTTTCAACTAGAATGGTCACTGTGGCTTGGTTGCTAAGATCTATAGGACCAGGGTGCCTATGTGGTATTGTTTAKTTAGGGGCAAAGTGAAAGGAGTGAGCAGGGATTGATGAGAACTGTCAGTCGCTGAAGTTCTCTCTCAATAGAGCTCTCTTTTTCCTTTTCAGAGGCTGAATTATTTCCCATTACAGCATCAATGAAAGAGCAGAGAAAAGGCAGAAACACTTTTTTCATAGAAGAAGAGTTTGGAGTTAAAAGGGAGAATGTTCTGACTGCTATACTTGTAGTAGRGATGTCTATAACAATGTTTTGATTTGCATGACCGTTCCCTAGATGTCATGCTTCATACATGAATTATGTAGACATTACAACTATTTAAACACATCAGCTAAGACAACTGGGTATGTAGAAACTAATTATATAGTTGCAGCAGGGACAAATGACATAAAACAAACATTAACCCAAAAGCTTTGTACTTTAAAAGTCCAATTACACCCTTACTTCCACCAAAATGAATAGTTCCCAACAGTAGCCCCGCTCAAGCAGAACTGGCCTGCCACACACGAAGCCTGCTCTRTAAATTTTAACTGAACAGTGATGAAAATTGGAACAGCAAACCACATCAAAGCCTTCAGAAAAACAGCATGGCAGAATATTCCAGGCAACAAGCCTTAAGCCTGGAACATACTGGCTCCAGCGCCGACCGGTCGATGCGCGGTCACGTGGTTGTTCGGTGTTCGTTTTCGCACAGACCTTTCATAGCTCCAGAGACACACTGTGTCAAGCTCCTGGGAAACCCCTCCCGCTGCAGCATACTTACGTCACTGTATGGAGTTCCTTCCCGCTACAGACGGCAATGCAGAAAAAAAAGTCAGAGTCGTCACTCACCCGAGGTTATTATGACCCCCACACGCGAAGCGTAAGCGGGAGTCATATTGTTTTCGTACTGTTTAGTTTTTTTTCAGTGATTTTTGGTCAACTGTAGCACAAAAACAGCTGCACCAATCAACATGAAACTTGGCAGAACTGTAGAAGAGTCTGACCTACACTGCGCCAGCCAGCGGTTTTATGATAGACCCCATATTTGAGGAGGGGGCTCCTTTCAAAGTGGGGCTGTCTAGACATGCAAAAATGCTTGTAACTCAGAAACTGTTCAACATAGGAGCTTCAGATTTCTTTTGTTGTTTAGCTCTGATGAAGCTCTATCCATCAGGCCCACCAATCAGTGCCCAGCACGCCCCGGGACCCCCAATTTATCTGAAAATTGTTTTCGTACCTTTTTTTTTCTCAGTGATTTCTGGTCAGCCGTAGCACCAAAACAGCTGCACCAATCAACATGAAATTTGTCAGGTCTGTAGATGAGTCTGACCTACACTGCRYCAGCCAACAGTTTTACGATACACCCCACATTTGAGGAGGGGGCTCCATCCAAAGAGGGGGTATCAGGACATGCAAAAATGCTTATAACTCAGAAACTGTTCAACATAGGAGCTTCAGATTTCTTTTGTTGTTTAGCTCTGATGCAGCTCGATCCATCAGGCCCACCAATTAGTCCCCCCCCAACCCCCAATGTATCTGACAAAGCAGTATCTGGACATACAAAAATGGTTATAGCTTAAAAACTATTAAACATAGGAGCTTCAGATTTTCTTTGTTGTTTAGCTAAGATGAGGGGCTATCCATCAGGTCCAACGCCCACCCCCCACACAAAAAAAGACCCCCCCACCCAAACCACTACAATTTTGGGATGCATCTGGCAGCATGACATTTATTAGGAATAAAGACTTCTGAGTGCTGGTGCATTTGTGCGTGTGGGTGTCATTATGTTACCGCTATGCGGTATCTAGTTTATCCACAATCTGTCCTGGTTAAAGCTCCACAGTTTTTATCAGACAGATTCCTCCATGCACAACGTCTGTTTTATCTCCATTCATGAGTTTTTCGCGGTTTGGCTATCTTTATAAAATTCAACAGTCGGCTCTGAGAGCGAGTCGCCTTTTTTTTACCGAGTGGTTGAAGTAAATGCAGTGTTCGAGCGCTTTCAGCACAAACAAACACGCCCACGAACTTCAGACCAATCACACATTACCGTCATCGTGGAAGGGGGGGTGGGGGGTAAAAATTTCTGCAGGCGGGTTGTGCCAAAAGGGGCGGCCGAGCCGACACTGCGAACACTGGTGAATAAATTTTCATCATGAAACTGCGACAATCCCTGTCGACATCAGCAGTTCAGAGGCTGTTTGTTTCCAGCTTTAGGTAGAGTGTCTTTTATATTCTGCTGTGGGAGGAATTAGTAGCCGTGTTTGCATCAGCGTTTTTCAATGCGCATTTTGAAGTATCGCATCAGAAAAGGTGAATGGAAACGGCATGATTCGAAAAAACTTCCTCTAATTYGCATAAAAGTTGATACGCTCRCTTGAGGTGGTTTTTGTTTTTTGAAAAAGAGTTAATACGCAAAAGGAGAGATGGAAACAMATTTGTMRAAWAAGTTCTGACGTAGCGAACATTTAYCTCACATGGTTGATCAGCTGTTCTYRCTGTCTGTCCGAAACCGGTACCAGAGCGACTGCAGYTGGACCCTCCTCCTGCTGTCAGCRTATTCTCAGTTATTCCCRTAACRTGAAGAGAATTAYATTTCTTTMTCTACGTCTCCAGACAGCATGTAACATCACCAGAACTAGTTGATATGACCAAATAAGTACAACTTTCCCGACAGTAGCAACACGTTCCTGATAACTTCTCTCCATTGTCCTGAGATGCGACTTTTATTTCCCGTTTACTACACGCATGCGTCTGATGTAATTGATTCGCTTCAAGACAGTTGATGGAAAAACGTCTGATTCGTATTTCTTCGTTTTTTCCTTTTTGCAAATTTTTAAAAATTCCCTCAAAATTCAAATTAAAATTGGATGGAAACACGGCTACTGTCCATTCTGGTTGGTTCTAGGCTTTTCTCTAATGTAAAAGTCTGCAGAACAAACCTCAGTTTGTTATGACGAGGTGAAGAGCCAGACGGGCTTTGGTCCAGTCCGGTCCAAAGATGCCACCGGACAAACTCGCCCCACTGCTTTATGAAAGCTGCTGTGCTGTATTTGTGTGTGTGTGTGTGTGTGTCAGTTCTCAGTGGTGTGTGTACCTGTAGTAAATGAGCTCTGACTCCAGCTGGACAATCTGTCGCTGCAGTGCTGGAACATAAGCAGCCTTCACTTCCAGTTCCTTCACTTTGCTCAGCCCGGTCAGCAGCGCCTGCCTGGCCTCCTCTACCTTCCTCCTCATACCCGCCTGCTCCCTCATCAGAGCCCTGTTACGGTCCTCCAGAGTRCTCCACAGTTCCTGTTCCAGTCTCTGGTTACGCAGAACGGCGTCCTCAACCTGCTGTTCTCTGGAGCGCCACAGATGCTCKGTGTCATGTATAAAGTTCTGGAAGCTCTTAGGGCTGCTTTTCAGGGACATCAAATAACCTTTTTCTGATTTATGCTTGGAGTGACTTTTCCACAGTCCTACCTGAGAGAAACAGAGTGAGCAGAAGAGTCAAGTTATTTTACTAAAACAGGAAATAATAAAATGCACATTTGGTTGTGTCAAGAGACCTAGATTTACCAGATAATGACCAGTTACAGTTCTTTTTGGGTTTGCTAAGTTCAGCTGGCTGTGGCCATCTTGAATCAGTGTTGATTCCAATTGTTAATGACTTGTAGATGTAGATCCAGGAAATACGATTCGAGTTTTATTAAAATGCATCCAGTCAGATTGTAGCTGCCATTTAAGGCAGCTCATATTTGTTTTCAATATGTCTCCCTGGCATATGGAAAGCATCTTTTGTTTTGACTTTATTAAAAGGTGGATATCCAACAGTGCTAAAACACATAGACCCATTCACAATTTCTGTATTTTAGCAAAGATTTTTGAAAAGATCATCAATAAACAGATTAAGCAGTAYTTGTATTCAGAGAGTATTTTRTTACCTTAACTAAACTTTGATTATTACTGAATGCAAGACTATTTTTTTCTCTCAGATACTACCACTTCAGAGACAAAACATTTGCAAAGATCATTTGGCTATGTCACGCTTTGAAAAATCAAAGCATACAATTATTGCACACTCCTTTGGAGACATAAAAAGATGTTGTTTTGTGTGTGTTTTTTATTATAAGATGGCAAAATGTGCTGAAAACAAAATAAAGCTGTTTGGAGGTGACTGGGAKGTTCAGAAGAAGGAAGATTTTTTTTTCTGATGACGAAATGTCTAAAAAAGGGAATAGTGGTGCGTTAATTATAATTAGATGTAAATACTTTTTGTCATGTGTGGCGGGGTGTGCATTGCTCTCCTCTGACTGTTTATTCCTAACTTTGTGTATTTTATTGATGCTGACAGTAAATATGGTTATAGAGAAGGATTCCTCTGGTTATAAACTTTCATTTGAGCCTCAGTGGTGACTGCAAGTTGAAGTGTTCAGGAGTTACAGCCTTTTGACATTGGTGTCCAATTCTCTGGACATCTTGGACTCCRTTTGGACACTTTGAAAAACCCACTATTAACAATAGATCTTATAGCAGGCAGCTGATGGAGGTAGCAGAAAAACAAAAGTCAATAACAGCAGAATGAGCTGCTGGGCTCTWYTGTTCCTTACAAATRTGGCATCATTTAGAAGGAAATTTAACAGGCTTTCCAACAGTATGAAATTTATTGCCAAGAAGCATACAAAGAAACAATCTCCCAAACACTAATTTACTGCCTTTTCRTTATGTTTATACTTTTTTTGTCAGATTAATTTCAGTGTTGTGTTTGACGTTTTAACATTTTGATAATAAACTACACAAAACTTAAAAGAGTCCATTGATAACTTTTAAGCAGACCCTGCACCTTTTTTTTTTACCTTCTAAGGCAGTGTTTCCCAAAGTTGGGGTCGGGACCCAAAGTGGGGTCCCGAAACATCAAAGTGGGGTCCTGAAAAGATTTTCTGAATTAATGACATTTTTGCCTTAGTTGTTACAAAGGAGTGAGGTTAGTGTATTTAAAATGGGTAAATTTAGTATAAAAATATTGTTACTATGCCCATGTTTAGTTGACCTGATACAAATATTTATCCTCCAACAACAGC